AAGGAAGGGATGCCCGATGGCAGCGCTGCACCACCGAGGGGCCTGGATGCCCATGGAAATGCCTGAGGGGGCAGGAAGCTGCATGCGGCACCTACAGACAGGTTGCCCTCATTCAGCCTCCCCAGTGTGGCGTTGGCACCGCCACCTCCTTTTGGTGCCAGTAACCCACCGTACTTGATCATGAACCACCCCCTCATGGTGGCACTGAGAGGGGTACGGGGACTAGCCTTGGTGACTGCCGCAGTGTGCCCAACGCGCAGATTCAGGCCTGCAAAGCTTGTCCCATGGCCTTGTGTACAGGTGGCAAATAGCTCTGCAGGTCCCTTTCCAAGGAGCACAGAAACAGTGTGGGATGAGCCCTCAGCCTGTGACGAACAGCCAGGCAGTGGCTGTTGCTGGGCTTCCCACAGTGCCAGGGTGCGTTAGCTGGGCTTTTCTGTGGAGCCAGAGCAGGAGTTCTGGGTTCAGCTGTTAGCAGAGCACCCTGGGGATCACGCTGAGGAAACGGAGACTGGAAAGAGCAGAGTCAGCTCTAGTGACACCTTGAACTTTCAGGGAGCCAACGGCACTACTGGAAGACCTGGCTTGTGTCCCCTACGAGGAATTGCCCTGCGTGAAGGGGTCAGGGGAGCCACTGCACTTGGCTTTGGCCCCATGTCAAGGTGTGCAGCAGGCCCTGGTGCCGAGCTGCATGATGAGGGTTTCACACAGGCCTTGTTTGTGACTGGATGCCTGGGCTCCCGCAGCAATGCTTGACCCGCAGCAATGCTTGACTTGTCCTGGGCCCTTGTCTCACCTTTCTCTTCTCCTAGCAGAAAAGCTCCTTCCTGGTGCACATGGGCAGGTTGGAAATAACCCCAAACTGCACTGGGCACAGGCATCCCCACCATGGAGGAAGTGGAGATTTAAAGAGTAGCTGCCCTGTGCACCAGGACAGGCTGCAGTGCTGGAAGCACATCCTGAACCAGACACAGGAGCATCAGGAGGAGGTAGAAGATATGGCCAAACACTAGGGGGGTGGAGGCCCCCATGATGCTGGGACCCGCGAAACTTCTGCCACCAGCACCATGGGACCCAGGCCTTCCCTGGTACATTATTGTTCATCCTGATTTATGTTTATTCTGAAATAATGCAGACGGCCTTGTTTTAGTAACACCATCTTCCCCCTCCTGTTTAAGCGATTTCCATCCTGCTGAGGCCCTCTTCAACGGCAGAAATATTGGCACTGCTCTCAGCACGCGAATAAGGGCAGTGCCGTCGATTTGGTGGTGGAGGGGAAGGTGGCCCCTGCCCTCCCCAGGCCGCCCCCTCGGGCTCGCCCCTCAGCTCCCGCAGCGCAGCGGGGCCCCGGGGGGCTCGGGCCGGTGTTTCGGGGCGCTGCTGGCCGGGGAGGAACCGCGGCCGCCCACGGACCGCCCCGTCGGGGCCGGCC